ATCAATGGAACAGAATTGAAAGCCCAGAAATAAAACCACACATCTATGGACAGCTTATCTTTGACAAAGGAGCTGAGAGCATACAACGGAGAAAAGAAAGTCTTTTCAACAAATGGTGCTGGGAAAACTGGAAAGCTGCATGTAAAAGAATGAAAATTGACCATTCTCTTTCACCATTCACCAAAATAAACTCAAAATGGATCAAAGACCTAAAGGTGAGACCTGAAACCATAAGGCTTCTGGAAGAAAACGTAGGCAGTACACTCTTTGACATCAGTATTAAAAGGATCTTTTCGGACACCATGCCTTCTCAGAGAAGGGAAACAATAGAAAGAATAAACAAATGGGACTTCATCAGATTAAAGAGCTTCTTCAAGGCAAATGAAAACAGGAATGAAACAAAAAAACAACCCACTAACTGGGAAAAAATATTTGCAAGTCATATGTCTGACAAAGGCTTAATATCCATAATATATAAAGAACTCTCGCAACTCAACCACAAAACATCAAACAACCCAATCAAAAAATGGGCTGGAGACATGAACAGACATTTCTCCAAAGAAGATATACTGATGGCCAATAGGCACATGAAAAGATGCTCATCATCGCTGATCATCAGGGAAATGCAAATCAAAACTACACTAAGATATCACCTTACACCCGTTAGAATGACAAAAATATCTAAAACTAATAGAAACAAATGTTGGAGAGGTTGCAGAGAAAAAGGAACCCTCATACACTGCTGGTGGGAATGCAAACTGGTGCAGCCACTATGGAAAACAGTATGGAGATTCCTCAAAAAACTAAAAATAGAACTACCATACGATCCAGCCATCCCACTACTGGGTATTTATCCAAAGAGCTTGAAGTCAGCAATCCCAAAAGTCCTGTGCACCCCAATGTTTATTGCAGCACTGTTTACAATAGCCAAGACGTGGAAGCAACCTAAGTGTCCAGCAACAGACGAATGGATAAAGAAGATGTGGTACATATATACAATGGAATACTACTCAGCTGCAAAACAGAACAAACTCATTCCATTTGCAATAACATGGAAGGACCTTGAGAGAATTATGTTAAGTGAAATAAGCCAGCGAGAGAAAGATAATCTGTGTATGACTCCACTCATATGAGGAATTTAAAACTATGGACCAAGAACAGTTTAGTGGATACCAGGGGAAAGGTGGGGTGGGGGGTGGGCACAAAGGGTGAAGTGGTGCACCTACAACATGACTGACAAACATTAATGTACAATTGAAATTTCACAAGATTGTAACCTATCAATAACTCAATAAAAAAAAAAAGTCATAAGGATTCTCACCGATCTTGGGAGAAGAATAGATGAACTCAGTGAGAACTTCAACAAAGAACTGGAAAATATATAAAAGAACCAATCAGAAATGAAGAATACAATACTGGAAATGAGTCCCTCACTAGAGGGACTCAACAGCAGAGTCGATGATACAGAAGAATGGATCAGTGAGCTGGATGACAGACTAGAGGAAATCACCCAAGCTGAAGAGAGAAAAGAAAAAAGAATTAAAAAGAATGAGAACAGTCTAAGGCATGTCTGGGACAAGATCAAGCACACTAATATCATGTTATAGGTGTCCCAGAAGGAGAAGAGAGCGACAAAGGGGCAGAGAATTTATTTGAAGAAATAGCTGAAAACTTTTCTAACCTAAAGAAAGAAACAGATATCCAGGTACAGGAAGCACAGAGAGCACCAAACAACATAAACCCAAAGAGGCCCACACCAAGACACATTATAATTAAAATAAAGACAAAAAGAGAATCCTAAAAGCTGCAAGAGAAAGGCAGTGAGATACAAAGGAAACCCCATATGTCTATCTGCTGACTTCTCAGCAGAAACCTTACAGGCTGGAAGGGAGTGGAACCATATATTTAAATTGCTGAAAGGAAAAAACCTACAGCTAAGAATACTCTACCTGGCAAGGTTATCATTCAGAATGGAAGGAGAGATAAAGAGTTTCCCAGACAAGCAAAAATTAGAGTTTATGACCAAGAAACCAATCTTAAAAGAAATGCGAAAGGGACTTATTTAAGTGGGAAAGAGAAGACCACAAATAGGAATAAGAAAATTATCCAAAAAAAAAAGGGTAATAAAATCACCGGTAAAGGCAAACATATGGTAAAGGTAGCAGATCAACCACCTATGAAGATAATATGAAGGTCAAAAGACAAAAGTACTAAAATTACCTATTTCTATGATAAGAGGGTAACATATACACACACACAAAATAAGAGGTTAGATAAGACATCAAAAACATAAAATGCAGGAGGAGGGGAGTAAGAGTAGAGCTTTTAGCAAGAGGTCAAACTAAAGAGACCATCAACTTAATATAGATTGCTATATATGTAGGTTATTATAAATGAACCTCATGGAAACCAAAAACCAGAAACCTATAATAAATACACAAAAAATTAAGAGAAAGGAACACAAACATAATACTAAAGAAAGCCATTAAACCAGAAGGGAAGAGAGTAAGAGAAGAAGAAAGGAAAAGAGAAGAATTACTAAAACAATCAGAAAAAAAAGTAACAAAATGGCAATAAGTACATACGTATCAATAGCTACTTTAAATGTCAATGGACTAAATGCTCCAATCAAAAGGCATATGGTGGCCAATTGGATAATAAAACACGACCTGGGGCTGGCTCCGTGGCCAAGTGGTAAGTTTGAGTGCTCGGCTTCAGAGGCCCAGGGTTTTGAGGGTTTGGATCCTGGGCATGGACATGGCACCACTCATCAGGCCATGTGGAGATGGTGTCCCACATAGCACAACTAGAAGGACCTACAACTAGAATATACAACTATGTACTGGGGGGCTTTGGGGAGAAGAATAAGAAAAAGAAAAGGATTGGCAACAGATGTTAGCTCAGGTGCCAATCTTAAAAAAAAAAGATCAGACAACTTGTGCAATGTGCATTCCTCCTCCACCTCTTCTAGAAAACTCTTTAAGAAAGTCTACTTTGTCTCCTATACATTATTTTTTGTGTAAGTGATCTTTTTTTAATGAGAGCAGGGGGTGTGCATTTAATATCTGGATCAATGCGATACAGTGTAAAGACAGCATTTGAAGATGTAGGAGCTCCAGTGCAGAGAGGATCACAAAAGACTAAATCCCTGGGAAGTTTAGGCAATAGAACTGCAGGTTGGAGTCAATACTACCTCCATCTCTAAGAAACAGGAAAATCTCAGCTATTCCTAGGTGATACATAGTTTGAAATTATTCATTTTCAACTAATTTCTCATATGTATCATTTTTGTCCATTTTTCTACCTTTGTTGTCAATATTCCTGAGTTGACCTCTGTGCTTTCTCTTTCTTGAGTAGATTGGGGCAATGAGGCTTCAATTATCTCTAAGTCTCCCCTTCCTGGCAAGCAGAGACCTTCAATAGCCAGAAGTAGGGAATCAGAGCACAGCAAGACAGTCTGGCACATGCCAGCTGAATGTGAGGTGAAGGGGAACTAAAATTTCAGCCTTACATTAAGAGATCCAGAGAAGAGGTTTCAGTGATTATATCAGCTCCAAGGGAACAGTAAAGAAAAGACACAGACAAGAAGAAAAAATTAAGGGACAAGAGCAGAGCCTGTAGATAGGTATCCTGACTGACAGTCGAGGAGAGAGCATCCCCAGAGCCTGTGGGCACCCAGTGAGTTATCCACCCAGAGCACACAGCCAGTTGGAGGAGTTGGAGAAGGATGAGTGGAAACAAACACTATTTTCTTCTGCTCTCATCCTTGCATTAGGGGCCTACTTAATTTAAACAGCTCTGAATTCCTGGTCTTTGCCCAGAACTTTTAAGTTTGCTTTTATGCTTTCAGAAGGTTGAAACTTATGGCTCCTGAATCTTGAGTTTGGCTTTGTTTTGAACCAGATTTTTTCCTTGTCCCAGTGATTAATGGTATGCTTCTGGAATCAGACTACCCAAATTAATCCTGACATAACTCAAATCCTGAGAGTAATACTAGTTAAGACAATTTAAAAACACATTTGATTATATACTTACATTTAAATATAATTTCTTAAGAATGCTCTGCTCTTTATCACTTGTCAAATATCTCAAATTCTAAAGTTTGCTTCACGAGAAGCTAGGAGGTTTCGTCATCCTTGTCAAAATAGCCTTCCCTTCCAGCTGCTTTCAAGCTGAACGGAACAACGATACTGTTTATGCCAAAGATATAGTAAAAGCCCATTTTAAAGTACCTTATATTTCCACAGATTTACTTATACTGTGGATTAAACGGCATGGCTTCACCGTACATACACTTATATGTGTATTTGAATATATATCCTTCTCACTATAGAAAACCACACAAATTGAGTCAAAGGCATACACATTTCTGACATCTACTTTTTAATCATATTTCTAATGAAAACATTGTTTGCAGATGAAATGTTTCAATATTAGAGTATAAACACAGATAACTAAATTGATTTATAACAATTAAAACAAACCCATGGAAATAGATCCTGTTCACCTATTCTCATCAACCTGAGAGTTTAGTCTGTTCATTAATTGCAGAGTGTGATTTAAAGTTTAAAAGGAGTCAAAAAGATGCTGAATAAGTTAGTACAATGAAATATTCTGTTTGAAATTGAAAATCTGTTGCACTCCGTTATTAATTTTCCCTGTGAGCTAGAGCTACAACTTAGAGTCTCCTCAAGAGAATTAAAAAATTACCAAATGATAATCTTAAAATGGTTCTAAAAGGCAATTATATAAAGTCCTCAGTTGACTTATACCATACTGCCATTAGAAAAATAAAATCTAAGACTACCTCATGGCTATTTTTGTATCTACGTTTCCTTTGAAAAAACTGCTTTAAAAATACAAATATTGGAGTTTAAACAAATAGTACATATTATTTTGTTTATATTAATATAAAATATACCTTTTAGGATCTGAGACAAAAATAGCCATAATTAAAAACAAGTGCAAAGGCAATAAAGTTTTGATGTTACTGTACCTACCTTTAATGTGATACTGTAATGTTCAACAAATGTTGCATTTATCCATGATCTTGAATGGGGATCACCCAGGAATTCTATGTGATACTGTTCAACATTTCCATCCACGTCATAGGTCACGTATTTCCCTTTAAAAGGATCAGGGCAAAGTATCCCTGGCCAACTTTCAAAAGAAAATATTTTTAATTATTTTGATGCTTTAAAAAAGGCAGACATTGATACATCTGTCACAATCATATGTCATACTTTCTCCTTTGAATTTTAATAACTTTTCCACAAAACAATCATATTCATGCTTGTATCTTTTAAACGTAAGATATTCATTTGATACATGTAATTAGTTGTATCTTTGTAGATAGAGCTTTGAAATAGTCACAAATTTAAGTATACATAAGATATAATGAGAAAGAATTATAAGACAAAAGAATGATCTCCAGGCTCTATAAGAGATATTTAGGTACTGCTAATAGGAAAGACAAGAGAGAAAAGATTCATCAGATTCATGGCAGGGTTGAGTCAACTCTTACCAATCAGTGATTAGTTAATAAAATGTTAACCCATTGATTGGGTTTCTGACAGGGTAGGAGAGAGCTGTCAAAGGATTACTGGTAGCTGAGGCAGTGAGAATACTGGAGATAATAACTACTGTGGGAAGAGCAGAAATAGAGCTCAGCAGTTCTATAGTGTCCCTTTTTCCTCCCTATCTGGTCCATTTTGCAGGTGACCAAATTGCTAAAAGTCCTCAGTGCTGGAAATAAATTTATCCTTTACTAAAAATAAATCTTTAGGGGTGTATTCTTTCATGACATAAACTTCCGGAAATTGTTTGATGTGTTTCATTTGGCAGAACATACTATATATATCAACTAAGTTTTAACTATTTTACCAACCTTTCTAGACTCTGACATACTGTTCAGAGAATAAAGCAGGAAGGGAAGGCAGCAAAGGAGGTCAGGAAGCTGTGACTAAGGAATGTATACTCAAAGCCTGACTGAATTTTATAGATCAAGATCCAAAATAGGCATATCTAATATACCCAAACATTCAAAAATCAGTACAACTGTCGTTATACCTCAGTCTGCAGCACTGCAGAGTGAAAAAGATACTAAGGTTCAAATCAGAGACCCAGGCTCCAGTTCTGCCTTCTACCAGTCAAGAGGCTTCAAGCAGGTAACTACGCCTCACAGTAACTCTATTTCCTCACTGAGTTGTTAAAAAGTTCAAACAAACATGTACTTTACACATTTTTGTTTTTTGGCAAATTAAAATATTGTAAAGTGATATCATTATGGGGTTTCCCCCCGCCAAATTCACATGTTGAAGTCCTAACCTCCTGTACCTCAGAATATGACTGTATTTGGACACAGGATCTTTACAGAAGTAACTAAGTTAAAAGGTGGGCCCTAACCTAATATGACTGGTTTCCTTACAAAAAAAGAAGATTAGGACACAGACATCCACAGAGGGAAGACCATGTGAAGATACAAGGAAGAGACCCATCTACAAGCCAAGGAGAAAGCCTCAGGTGAAATCAACCCTGCTGACACCTTGATCTCAGACTTTCAGCCTACCAAACTGTGAAAAAGTACGGTTCTGTTATTTTTAAGCCACTCAGTCTATGACACTTTGTTATGACAGGCCTAGAAAACTAATACAATCATATACAGATAAGATAACCGGTATATTTGAGAAGTAGAAAGTGATACAAAAACATTTTTTGCTTCATTTAGATAATTTTTTAGAAACTAGATAAATTAGCTATTTAGATAATTTTAAAACCTAAAGGAAGTACACAAATCATACTGTAAAGAATCTGAAATTACAAAAATACAAAATCTGTAAATTGCCTGGATTTGTGGACTATAGGTTGATCTACTAAATTATCAACTGATATTAAAGTTATTAAATCATAAATATAGAAATGTATCTATCATAACCAACTACAAAAAAGTTTTTACAGATATAAATTAATAACACAATGTAAACTAATGAAAATATTCCATGCTTAGTATTATTAATGTAAACATTTGATTCCAGCAAGTTGATGAGTCCCAAGTATAGCTGCCAGGAGGTAATGACTTGGGTGCACCAGTTACCAGGGATGGTGAAGAGTGAGAATGGAGCAGGTGGCTGGCTGCTCCTTGGATGCTGAGCAGAGTCCTGTGGCTCTTGGGCGTCTCTGAGTTAGGGGAAAGGGAGGGGGAGGGCTGCCTGGAAGCCCCGGATCATGGAGGAGGAGGGCTAGGGGATTACAAATTGAGTCAGACTCTGGAACCCAAAGAAGCCTAAAACTTTGGAAGAATTGGAAGTGATAATGGAAAGTAAAGTAGAAGTTCAGGAACTAAATGAAGAAGACTGTCTGGTTATTATCAGGTTCACAGCACAATATTTTATTGCTATTTGGCGACTCTTATTGGGCTGTGCTTAAGAGTAAAACTTAAGTGGAGTTTATCTTTGAAACCTACAATGGAAATCTACATTTCGGAAGGAGCCCACTCAAAATAAGAAGACGTCAATAGGCAGATAAATGACAAAGTGAGTGGCAGGTGTGCAATGGAGACCCCCAACTTACTGGAAATGTGGGAACAAGTGGGTCCTTCAACCTCATTAACAGCTATTTTAAAAGCAACCAAACCGTGATTGTTGCATTAACATATTTGTTTAAACTGTTCGTGAAATATAAGGGGCTCATGTTTAATACTACATTATTTGCATGTCACCTCAATTTTAAAAAGGATTACTGCCAACCAATATCAAATTACAAGTTTCACCTACTCCACTCAGTTTAAAACAGTCTCAGGATTTCTAACACATAACACATGAAAGAAAGACTATTTTGCATTTATTATGCATAAGATGAGCTGCTACTTTTCTGACATAAATTCTGATACAAGTAGTTTTTACATCAAACCTATTGGGCCCAAGTGTATTCAATTTAAATTATTACTTTATAAAATGTAAATAAAAATAGAGCTGACTCCTAAAAAGAATTTGATGCCAATTAAAAAAAAAGCTTCTGTTCATTATTTAAAACATTTTATATTATAGAAAATATTGCATGCTGATTTAAAGATGAATTATAAAAAGTATCATTAAATGTCCATAGAACTAGGGCACTTTAGTATTTCTTCAGGCAGTGCAAAGGAATTGTCTGACTCCTAGTCTGTATATCTTGGCTAAAATGGAATGTACCAAACTTTCGAAAAAGCTGAGGAGAGGCCATAGATACAGAAAACATGATTAGTTCTCTCCAGCTGCTATATACATCATCTTCTCTGACTTGCTGTGATTGAGGAAAGCTGATGTCCATTTCTTGCCCTCACACTGACCTCAATTTGAGTTCCAAAACTGTCAATGAGATAGCACATTGTGCATTTCTACTTCCCAATTTTTCACTTTCATATTGAGGAGAAATTCTCAAGTGTTGTTTGGGGGCTTAAAGGTGGAGAGTAAGAACAGGCAACACAATGGAAGGGTATCAGAATTACAAGGAAAGTGATGAATTTTAGAATCTGTGAGTGGCGGGAGGTAAAATGTACAAATACAACAAGGTCAAATAAATCTCAGGTGTTGGAATCCACCTGGGGAAAGGCGAAACTTTGGTAGGACAAGTAACTTCAAGGGAAGTGTAAATGTATCATAAAGAAACTGATGTCCTACCCATTTCTTATCCAGTGGGAATGATAAGCTAAGATAGCTATTGCCTTCAACAGAAGTTGAAGCTTAAGCATGATTTCAGTTGCAATATATTTATACTCAATGAGAAGTACATGACTGTTATTTTTAAAACATGGTTTGGATGTTCAAGAGGAGAGTACATTTTACTTGGGTCTCACTCCTAATCTGTGGGAAATGAAATGAACAAGTTGGAGTCATCCCTAATTGAACATTATATTTGCCAAGAAATCTTTGGGCTATACCTAACTGCAGCGGCTGATGGGAAGAGGAAATTTCCCATCTACACACATACATATTATAAGTATATTAATCCATAGGCAAAAGAATGTAATTAAGAAGTAATCAAATAATATTTTATAATACTGAAAGGATCTAGTAGAAATCTCCATTTATAAATTTATATACTATGTCTAAAAAGTATTACTGTATTGGTTTGTTAATTTAAAGGTATATTTTATTACTAAACTGTTTGAACTACAGTAAATTAGAATGCAAATATATTGTCTATAAATTAATTTTCACATTTATGAGAAAGCTTTGTAAAATGTCTGTGTAAACATGTCCAAATATTTCCCTAAATAGAGCCTAGTTTCTGCTTGACAACGATCTTTCTGTATTAGTGAGATAAGTACACTTTTTCATTTTTTACCACTGTGCTCTTTCTAGCTGAATACAATGCTACTTGATCAATTATTAAAAATCAAGGCTGCTTAAACATTATGGAGATAGTTTTTCTCTTCCTAGTATATGCAGATATCCCCACCCTCAAGCACATATAGGCATAACTCAAAGGCAAGAGGCTGCATATGTATTTTTATACATATATAAGTGTGTGCTATCTCACAATGTGGAGGTAAATGTAACTATTATAATTTGATTTTCCATGGAGCTTGCCCATAGACAAAGACAGTGCTATTCTCTTAACAATTATTTCTTTTTATTATATAAAGGTTAAATAAGCATTTCTAGATTTTGTATCAGTCTCTCTTTAGATTTTCTGGCTTTATTGGAGAGGGTTAACTCTTCCGATAAAGAAGAACTCTGAGATGTTGATAAGATTGAGTTTCTGAGCCTTCAAAGCTGGGTGTTAAGGCCATGGGCTAACGAGAATTGATCCAGACTATGCTACACTGCTATGTACCCCTGAAGCCAGCCAGCTAGTCTTTCCACTTGAAACTTCAACATCTATAACATTGCTTAATTAAGAACTAACGTTTGACTGTTTTTAGTAGGTTAATTCTAGCTTTATGTTCTATTACTGCAATTTGTTGTGTTATCATCTTTCTATTTATTTGTGGTACTGAGTAAACAATATAACAAGATTTGAGTTTCTCAATCTGTATTTTAAGTCTGTGCTCATTTGTACTTAGTTCATAAAGAGGAAGACATATATGTGACTACTTAGCCAAATGCATTCTATTCTTTCCAATAAGCAAGAAAGTAGATATAGCTTTATTTTGCAGGCATTTTGATGGTCCTAATCAT